TGCTAGTTCATGTAGCCATACATGGGATGCATTCCAACTTGCCCATGCATCGTTTAGGCTCTATTGTGTACGAAACAACCATGTCTTGCCAACCAACAGCCACAAGGTTAGTAGTAAGGTGGGGCCACGCCTACTAGGTGAACCCCCAAAGATTAATATTGCTCCACCTGAGAAGGAGGCTGAGGAAGAAGATGAAGAAGGTTCATCCGGCTCTCTCCCAGCGATAAAAATATATGATGATGATGTGAACATGAGGTTTCTTGTTTGTGGAGTGCCATGCACATTGGTGAGATGCACTTAGTTTTCATCATGTATTTTCTTTCTAAAAAAATAAAAGAATAATATTCTTTTCCTTGGATTTGTTTCTTATGACATGCTTGTTTCTTTTTGAAGGATGCATTCTTGTTGGGATCTTTGGAAGATGGCTTAAATGCCATCTTAAGCATTGAAGTAAGTATGATGCAAGGTTGTTTGGTTTTACATCCATAACTATTTAACCTCAATTTCTTTCTTCACTGATATATGTTCATTTTTGTTATTAAATGTATAAAACTCTAGTTTAAGGTCCAAATTCTAAGGTGGAACTAGGAATGTGTTTCAAAATGCATAAAAAATGTAAATCATACTCTCTTCCAGCCTGTCCATAACTCAATTCAACTAGATTAAACCTTGTTGCAACTGTATGGAGTTAGGTACACAAGTCTTTTTTCACTATTCTGCTCTATTCAGTAGCATATCCATTATTAGATTAGGGCCCCTTAAATCATTTCTTACTATTTAAACCCATGTCCTTTTTGGTCCTCTTTAAGCCTGCCCACTTTGGAGGAAAATTTTCTGTTTTGGACAGTTACTAATTCTTGTGCAAAGTTAGTAATTCTGTTTTGGAGACATTTTCCAATTGAATGTATTCGGGAAGAAAAAATTCTTGACTATATTGAAAGGATGCCAGAAAAAATGCATTTATTTTGCCAAGCTATTAGGCTGGCTTTTTTTTTATATCTCCCAAAGGGCTGCACAACTTGGGGGGGGGGGGGTAGCCCATCCCCCAACCCGTAACCCCCATCAACCCAGGTGCAGGAGGGATTTGATCTTAAGTCTCTGCTACGACCAGAAGGAGACCGTACCAGCTGCTATTAGGCTGGCATTATCTATGCCCATTTATATACTTATATTATGAAAATAATAGAAAGTTAGAGCTTAAGATTATGCGAGTTCTCATTGTTTTTAACTCCTGTGATGTTTCAGATACGTGGGAGTAAGCTTCATAATCGTGTTAGGTATGTTCTGATGGTTTGGATGTTTAAAAACCTTTCATTTTATTTTATTTTTAACTTACAAATGCCATCTGCTGAATGAGTATTTTTGGGTGAAGTTTTTGATTTTTTTTTTTGCATATTTATCTGGAGACAATAAAGCAATTGAACTGATTGATTGCATTTTACTGTGTTCCAGTGCTCCGCCGCCTCCTCTTCAGGCAGGGACATTTTCCCGTGGTGTTGTAACTATGCGTTGTGATTTATCTACTTGTAGTTCAGCCCACATTTCTCTTTTAGTGTCTGGTAGTGCACAGACTTGTTTTGATGACCAGGTAATTATGATATAGTAGAATTGTCATGTTTGAGTTCCATTGGGGTTTATGAATTTGTATGCATGAATGTGTTAATTTCATTTTATTTTTTTCACTTTAAATTTTCAGCTTCTGGAGAATCATATAAAAAATGAACTTATTGAGAAGAGCCAGCTAGTCCATGCATTGCCCAGCTGTGAGGAAAACAAACAACCACTGTCAGAGCCTCGAAAATCAGCTTCAATAGCTTGTGGGGCCACTGTATTTGAAGTTTGCATGAAGGTCCCAACATGGGCTTCACAGGTTCTTTTTCTACCATTCTTTCTGTTTCCTGTCTTTCTTTGTTTCTTGCTTTTTCCCACTTCTTTTCATTTCTGAAGTCTCTTTTTGGGTTTTGGTGGTTTTCAATTGTTTCTAATATTTCGTTTTTCTTGGATGTCCATAGTGCACTTGTTCTTATTATCTCAGAGTTTCTTGCTGCATGCATTTGCAGGTACTGAGGCAGTTAGCACCAGAAGTTTCTTACCGTAGTTTGGTGACACTTGGCATTGCTAGCATTCAGGGATCATCAGTTGCTTCTTTTGAGAAAGATGATGCTGAACGCCTCCTTTTCTTCTGTACTAGGAAGGGGAAGGATATTGTTCCAAACAACACCATGGTCAATCCTCCTATCTGGTTAAGACCACCTGCTCCTAGCCGAAAGAGATCTGAGCCATTTCAAGATATTAAATATACATGCAGTAGTGACATGGTGGGGGAAAATGGCAATTCTGTCAGGCAAGTAGATCAAGATGGCAATAAGGAAATTAAATCAATAGATGAGCCTACCATGCCCTTAATACCCTTAAGACAGAAAGTAAAAGTTGCTGCTATGAGGCCTATCCCTCATACTCGTCAGCAAAAGATGCTTCCCTTTTCAGGTGTTGCTGATGCAGATGGACATGATGGAGGCCAGGCAAAGGCCAACTTACCAATCATCCCTTCAACAAAGCMAAGTATTGTGCCAACACCTATCATACATCGAAAATCAATGTCAAGCTCCTTTCAAGCTCAGCAGATTATTTCTTTGAACCCCCTGCCTTTGAAGAAACATGGTTGTGGCAGATCTCCCATCCAGGTTTGCTCTGAGGTAAGTTCCTCCATTTTCATGAGTATGTTTGTACTGGTTGTTAGCCTGTGGAGTAGGTACTCCGTGTCAGACACATCTGGGCTATTTAGAGACTGAGATGTGCATGTGTATATTATCAGGTCCTTTGGTTGCAATCATCGTTGCCTTGGTATGAGTGCCAAGTATATTTGGGTGCTGAAGTATCTGACTCGTTAGGTATTCATGTATGTCTGATGCGGCTATGGAACTATACTCATGCATGTGTCAGCATTTGAATCCGTGCCCACAAGGTTCTAAAATTCATTTGAGTTTTAAAATTTCATTCCAGCATTAGAATTCAGTATACTTGGAAACCTAAACAAAGTCGGAAGGCTTTAAAGAGGTTTAGAGAAGGAAAGACAATAGATAGCAATTGGTCAGATGTAGACAAGGAAATGAGAGAAAAACAGGAAAAATGTAGAAATAGAAAGAAAAACAGTTTCTTTATTTTTCTTGAACTAGGGAGATTTTTCCCTACATTTCATCTCGAATCTGGAAATTCAAGTGAAACATTGAAAGCAAAATTCTTTTTGTAGGRGGTTAAAAATTCTCTCAACCAAAATTTAATACCTTATGTTCCCTGCTTATTGTTATGTTTGCACTCTTTTGGATGCGTCGGTCATGCATGCAAATAATCAAATGCCCAGGTCTTTGGCATGTCACAGCTCCTTGGATTACAATTTAGGGTCATAACTGCAAATAAACAATTAGCTATTTATTATTTTACTCTTGACACCATACAAGGCACACTTGTGCTATCCCTTGACAATTGAAACACCATGTCTGAAAGTGCTATATGCCAGCACTTTTGCCAACTTTAGATTGAGGAATTGTTATCATGTTAGAAAGAAATGGTGTGGTAGGTAGGTTTTAGCAGAGCTGGACCCCTTTGGTGTTGAGGTGTACTATTAATGGTTCATCTTGGGTGGGCTAGGGTTGAGCAATTGTTAAAATTTCAAGGGGCCTAGGCCAGGCCTAATGCAGTGTATATTCTCAAGATGAGTACCCAACTTGCTTCCCTCTGATAATATTGTTAATGTGGATATCTGACTTAATGTCCAATCTATAGATCTTTTTTTCTGTGCAGTTATATTTGTATAATCCCTAATACGATTAATTAATGAATTGATTTGATTTAGGTTTGAGTTTTTATTCCCATTATATCATCTATGACCCCACCTTCCACCTAGTTGTGTCCTATTTATGGTTTAGGCCGGGCAAGGGGTTTTTTCTTTCCCTCAATGAATTCATCCAGTACTCCTGGTTGGTTTCTATTAATTTTATTTTTCTGATGTTTTCTTTCTTGCAGGAGGAATTTCTGAGGGATGTGATGCAGTTTCTAATCCTTAGAGGGCATAGCCGTCTTGTCCCTCAAGGTGGATTAGCTGAATTCCCTGATGCCATACTAAATGCAAAGCGTCTTGACCTCTACAATTTGTATAGGGAGGTGAGATCTTGTTCTTTTTTCGTTTGTGTGCTGTTTCCCATTGCCCAGCATGCCAGTGCAAAATCGGTAAAATATCTTTCTAAGTTGGATATGATTTAATTATTCCCTCTATTGTTATTACTGTTCTGGGGTTCTTTTAGGTGGTTTCTAGGGGAGGCTTTCATGTTGGGAATGGCATTAACTGGAAAGGCCAGGTTTTCTCAAAGATGCGAAATCACACAATGACCAACAGAATGACTGTAAGCCTCCATGCTTCCTGGTGTGCCTATTCATTTTCACAATTTGTCTAAGTTTCTTAATAAAAGCATTTGCACAGAACATTTAAAGGGTAAAAAATAGGTATCATGCTCTGACATCATAAAAATTGTGTCTTTTCTTGTTCTTGTTCTTGTTTTTTTCTAGAGAGGATATTGTTGAAGGATGTATTTGGATTCAGATAATATGTCCAAATTTTTCTTGTCATAAGCTTGCAATAAAAAAATTTTGCATGTTTCTTACCTTTGTGTCTATCTAGTAATATTAACAAGATTRTTGGTGCTTTAAGATTTCATAAACTCTAATGGACTTCTGCTATTTCGTTTTTTTCTTTTTTTATGATTTTGGAGRATGGAGAGTGCGTCGGTGCAATCAGAATATAAGTTGACACTGGTTTATTTTATAGGTCTGCCTTGTTTCCAAGGTCGACATGTTTTTGGTTTGCTTTTTGAGTTGTTTGATTTTGTAATGGTCAGGTTTGCTCCACCATACCCCCTTCAATGCCATATATTGCATCACCTGTTGTATTTCTCTTTTCTCTTATTTAATTTTTATCTTATTATCAAAACATTTTCTTTTACTGAAAAAAGTATTTTGAAGTAAAAAGTTTTGTTAGACAATAGATTACTTGAAAGCCATTATACTGAAGTGGTTCTTGACATTCAATAATTGTCTCTCTCAAAATATAGTGCATAGATTTATGTTGCTATAATAAGCAAGCTAAGAACTACAGTAGTCTGAAATTCAGTAGCGTTGGCAATGGCATTATACAAATGGATGGCAACTTATGTTGCCATCCTTTAAGCCATCAACAAAATTCAGTAGTCTGAAATTCATCTCATTAAGCCATCATAAAGTGCAACTTATCTTGGAATTGTACAAATGGTTGGCTTGACATATGGTGCTCGATTTCAAGTATGTGACCTCCAGAGAACTATTCTCCTTGATATGTCATGCTTATATTCAATAAGAGCAATTTTCCTTGAATACATCATGCTTATATCCGATAATCCAGAACATGTCTGCTGCAGTGTTGCTAAGACTTGGATCAGACTGGATGTTTGGACAGTGAAAACCAGGAACAAGTAACCTTTCCAGTTGCAGTTAAATTACAGTTTTTAGGAGTTGAACAGGTTAACTGGACAATAAACTGGAAAAACTGTGACCCATACAACATTTTGGTTTTTAGTCCTGTCTGAATCTTACAACTTTGGTCTGCGTTTCTTTCTTGTAGAATCTAATTTTTACTAGTTTCTTTTTCCCATATTTTTTTGGGTGGTGTTGGGGGTGATTTCCCTAGCTTCTCTGTAGAGCCAGATCCTTGTAGTTATGTTTATATGCTTATTATAGAATTGTACCTGTTTATTGATGAAGATCATGAGTCATCATGACATTGATATTTGATAATAATAATTCGACTTCCACAAGCCTATCCCATCTAGCTGATGAAGATCTGGTTTCCATGGCAATGAAAATATACAAATTTTACATGGTATAAATTGCAAAATCTCGTGATTTTTTACTAGAAAAAGAAATAAAATATACTGGTCTGATTGGATCTACTTAATTATATCATTTTATGTTGCTCTTCTTGAGTGTTCATAGTCATTTTAATATGATTTGTGGAGTCTCATTATTTTTGGTTGCTTGCAATAGGGTGTTGGGAACACTCTAAAAAGACATTATGAAACTTACCTTCTAGAGTATGAATTGGCCCATGATGATGTGGATGGTGAATGCTGCTTGTTATGTCACAGGTTTGTACTCTCTCTCACTCTCTCTCACTCTCTCTCACTCTCTCTCACTCACACACACACACAGTCCGGCTTCGGTCAGTGCAAGCCTGTGTTCACACTGTTCGAACAGACTCTTGCAACCTTGTATTGGGAATATCTCCCCATGAAATAAAGCACATAAGTATGGAGATATTCCCAATGCAATGCTGTAAAGGCTGTTCGAACGGGCATTGCACTTACCAAAGCACTGACCCACACATATGCAATTTGCAAGAGGGGTGCAACTTGGGTTGGCCTGGTGGGTTAGCATTTCAATTTTGACAAAAGTCCAACCCAAGCCTGCCCAAGTCGCACCCCTGCTGCCAGGATAATAGCAGATGTATTAGACTTCTAGCAAGCCAAGATAGCTTTTTCAATGACACGTGCTGCCTTTTGATGACTCTGTAGAGAATCCTYTACATAACTTTAGTATCTCTCATGGACAAGAATAATTGGATATCTTCAATAAGATGTTAGATTGTAGTGTATATTATGTTTAACATAGTATATGTGCCAGTGTGTGTGTGGGTGTGGGTATGAAATATATTCTGACAGTGGATGCTATCTTTCACCAGTAGCGCAGCAGGCGATTGGGTAAATTGTGGAATATGTGGTGAGTGGGCGCATTTTGGCTGTGATAGACGGCAGGGCCTTGGTGCCTTTAAGGTATGGTGCACCTACTATATAGAAACCCGCATGTTGAATTTATAGCAGTTATCTTTGTCTATATTTAAAAAGAAAACCGATATAAAATTATAAATTGGAAAATGAAGATATGATAAGGCTACAGAATCTTCTATCAGTTTAGTTAACATTTGCATGTTGCCAAATTGGTGAAGTCTTTTTCACCATGACTTGGATCACATATTGTGCAGGGTAAAGTCAATATTTCTGTTACGTAGGAAATGTTTTTAGGCCTGGAGTTTCCAGATTGCTTTTGTTAGAAAGAGCAACCAATACCAACAGTTTTGTTTTGTATTGGGATTCAACTCCCTTGGTTAAGTTGGTGGTTAATCACATTGTAATGACACATGACAGGACTACGCAAAAACGGATGGGTTGGAGTACATTTGTCCTCACTGCAGCATATCGAATTTCAAGAGGAAATCACTGAAAACTGCTAATGGGTTTTCAAAGGCGTTGACAGCTTCATAGCCCGTTAATCCCGTTTCCCTCTTTTTATGTGTTTCTCCAATCTCCACCCATCCCCTTCGTGGCTCTTCTTTCTTGATCCTAGAAAGCAATCAAAAAAAGGCCACAGAAGGGTGGGTTTATATCATCATTGTTTCCCCATAATTGTTCCATAAATAGCAGTTTAAGCAAAAAAAAAATAGTCCCAATTTTCATGTGACATAGTTAGAAGAGATGACAGTGTTCAAAGAAAGAAAATGTATTATACCTTTTTTCTTTTATTTAATTCTGTTGGAGGTAGTAGTTTGTTGGCAATGGAGGATTAGTCTATTTCTATTTTCTACYGAGTGAAGGTTCGGTTTTCTCACGACAACGTAGCCATCCCAGTTCCTCGCTTGCCTCAGTTGAAATGAGAAGTATCGAGTTACGCTTTACTACACATATGGGCATGAATATAGCAAGGTTCAAAGTGGCAATAATACAAGCTTTAAAATATTGCAACCTATCAGTGCATGTTGTGTCACTGTATTGTGTGTTTGCTGGGGAGCCGGAAAAATTAGACGGTTTGAACCATTCGAACTGTCCAATGGTTTTGGTTTTTTTAATTTTTTTAAATTTTATTTTTTTGTTAGAATGGGTTGTCCGTTTGAATGATCGGACTATTTGACATGAAAACTGGACCCTTGAACGGTTTATTATCTGATTCGGTTTTAAAAGCCTTGGTTTTCATATCATATCGTTTAACTAAACAATTAGTTGAATAAAAAACACAAGAATTTCCATTGACTGATCTCTTCATATGCATCTTTTTTTCATATCAAAAGTTTTGATACTTTGGACCGTATAACTGTTCTATATATATCACTGTTTTTAAAACCGGATCGGACCAGATGGTCAGATTGAAAAAACTAGGAGCCGGTCACCTGACTGGTTCTGTTTTCCTCCAAAACCGTTGATTTTGGTCAGCAAACTGTTGAACCGGCTGATTAATYATTTGAACCGTTTGAACGGTTTTGACCGTTTTTCAATTTTTCAATTTTTTAATTTTTTTAAAATTTTTTATTTTTTTGTCAAAATGGGCCGACTGTTTGAACCGGTAACCGGACCCCTGACCGATTTGGTCATCGGTTCGTTTTTAAAAATCATGATATATATCATATCGTGAGCAATTCATGAGTCATGATTACTCATAATTATTCTATTTGTATCATTTTTCTACAAATTACACAATTAAAAAAAAAAACTTTTTTGACATAAATTGTTGATGGGTCAATACACAAGACATTTGGTGGATCTGTTTTATTTTAAATTATTATTATTATTATTTTATGTTCGAGTCCAACTGAGTTATACAAGACCAACCATTACCACTTATTATAGGTAAAGCCTAAAGGAGTAGACAAGAGGGGTAGCCCCAGCCCAAACCCGTGGACAGTTAGATCCCCCACCTGGGTGAAGGCGGGACTTGATCCCAGGTCTCAGATACAAGATGCAACCAGAACCAGCTATGGTCTATGGAGGACTTTACTAATAATAGAGGCTGGTTGTGGTTGACAGTTGACACTCACTCCATCTGCATCTGCATTGGCGGTTGGCGGGTGCTTCGTGACCGCCTGAGCCTGCCTGAGGCTGAGGGAATGTTGTATTTGAAGACCGGATTTGCTACCTACAGGTAACTACTACAACAAGGCTACCCAAAGGAAGGAGTGTGAGAGTCGTTTGTTTCTACTTTCTAATGCATGGGTCAGGGTCATGGGTGTAGTAAGTAAACTAGTAGTAGTGTCTTGTGGGCAGGTCAGGTGTGGCGTGTGGGCAGCAGATCCGAGCGCAGCAAACACCGCCCTTAACCTATCTTATACAGGGAGGGTACACCCCCACCCCTACCCTATTGGATTTTCTTCTCTGGTGCTTATCATTATGATCATCACCCTCACCCCGATTCCTAAACAAACACTTTTATAGGTTAGGGTATGGTACAGTCCGATGCTCTTTGTATCAGTCCTCAGGATTCAGGCACGCACAACCCCAAAGGAGGTTTTTGCAATTGCAAGTACAAATAAAGTTGAGTGGATAATCTGATCTGATTTGCTTCTACACAGTACACACAAGGCCATGTCACCGCTTCCGCAAAGCTGAGCAAAGCACAATTTCACAAGTTAATAGGAATCTTTTAACTTTAAGAGGAAAATGATTATTCATTTTTTCTTATCTCTTATCTTTTAAAGTGCAATCATACAATTTTTTGTTTTTCAAGGATACCCCAAAAAGACAAATAAAAACTCTTATATATAGGGTCAAAATGAATATTTAATAATTTTCAGAATTCAGAATTTAGAGTTCTGAACAACATTCTTTGCATTCAGARTTCAGGAGAAAGAAAAATTCACCAATACCAATATACTTTTTAATGTAATTATTGTACTTTCAAATGTCAGACTTTAAAACAAACAAACACACCAGATTGTTGGCTTATCTAGGCTAGCTCTAGCCTCTAGAGCTGACATTTCGTGAAATTCTAACGAAATGTGAATAGTTGAATACAATACGTACATCATTACATCTCCTGTAATCTTGCAATAAAAGCCATTTTATAGCTCAGCACAGAAATGAAAAAACAGAACGAACGATACCCCTCTGCCACAGCCTACAAACCTGCAACTATATATAGTATATACCTCCTAAGTCCTATGTCCTAATCTGTTCATAATGATAGCTTGAAACCCTCAATCAAGTTTAAATATGAGTAACCATCAATCTCACCACCATCATGACTTACTCCCAGGCCCAGCTAGCTACTTCGTGGATACATACAAAATCTGCATAGACATAAACAGAATGATTACTTGATTAGAGTGGCCTGTGAAACCAAGTTTAAAGTTCTCATCCATCAAATTAGTCTCATCCTTTTTAGCTGTTGTTTCTCCTAGAATTTCCTGGACGGCTGTGGACCATATACATTCCACTTCTATAATTGAAAGGGAGAGTTTGAGAGAGCTCTGCTCTCTGCTCTGCTGTCGGTGTAAAACAGGAAGCCGTGGCTATACTGTATTGGAATTGGAGGTAACCTTGAACTTGAATAGTTTATATCATAGAAACAGGAAGCCGTGCCCATGTGGTTTGGATTGAGAAGATCATGCCAGCCCAATTTCAATTTCAAACCTGTAAAATGTTTTAAACTAGTTCTGTGTTTTCTGACAAATACTTAAACCTCCCCTGTATTTTTGACTTGTGCAAAAGCCTCTCCTCTCCATAAATGTTTTAAAAGTATTTTTTAAATTTTCATTTTTGCCCATGGAAAGCTTTCTTGAAATGAAGATTGAAGATTCATCCAACTACCCCAAAAAAGATTATTCATTTTATTTGAGTGGGCTTCAAGGTTCAATAGGCAACAAAGACCAGATTGGGATTGAACTTGAACCTTTCCTATTAGCAGAAGTGTCACATTCAAGCAATTTGAAGATAGAAAAACGGTATTTACCATGCACACTCATAACAAGAAACAGTCATAATTTTAAGGGTTCGACTATGATATGGAAAAAATATGATATCTGAAAAACTTTTGACCAGTCAACTGGAATCACAAACGTGGTAGTCAATCAGGTGTTATTTATCAAAATTCATGGATGRATTTTGATTGGTCCATACCATATCTTTTCAGCATCATAGATTTCCCTAATTTTAATGTCTCGTTACTGAAGGGATGTAATTGCATATTTATTTGAAACGTAAATGGGGGGTTTTTGGCTTTCTGCAGAGGTCAAAGTACAAGGAGCTTTAATTACCTTTCACAAGAACTTAAAAAATGGAGACTAAATTCAATCAGTACTAAAAGGGTTTAAATTTATATGTATATCGATCCGAGCTCGACCTGTACCTGTACAACTTGCGATCTGTTACAACAGAAATCCAAAATTTCTAGGATATGCATATATACCCCAGACATTATCATGTTATCTGGATAGAATTCTATCACTGGTGGACTGCCGAAGTTGTTGTGGGTGTCGTTGGAATGAGTTACGAAATTGTGCGGGAATCACTACATGAGAGTCAGAGATCGATGAGACTATTCGTCTGTCTATTCCCTTGGTGCTTGGTGTGTGGCCACTCCCACTCATCGACTACGCGGCTCTTGAGCTTGAGCTTGACGTTACTTTCTATCATAATCATAAATGTAAATGTAAATGTAAATGAAGATTGAAGCTTTCCAATTCCAATTCAACAAACCACAAAACTCGGCTTCCGATAAGGCCCACCCGCACCGCACCCAATTAACCAATTTGCATGCCACAGAGTATGGAGTATGGAGTATGGAGTATGGAGAGAGAGAGAGAGTAAAAGACTATAACCCATTAATTAGCGCTAGAATTCTAGAGACCAAGTACCAGGTCAATCCGTTATAAATCCAAACAAAACAAACAACAAATAGAAGTATAGAATAGAATCAATCGTCCCCAGAACCAGAACCAGAACTTGTTCACTCGTCCAAATTGAGAGAGACTTGAGAGAGAGAGGAAGAGATGTCAAAACCATCACGCTTTGATCACCTCTATGTGGATGACTTTTACTTCTCTGCTCTCTCAAATGCAGATGAAGAGATCTTTCCAATATCAGACGAAAAATATGCTGAGGAGTTGCAACTACAGGAGGCTTTAATGTCCTCAGTGGTCTCTTGTCAAACAGCAGTAGCAGTAGAAGTAGCAGTACATCGGTCATTGAAACCCATTGAAAAGCCTAAACTGGTAAGGGTAGAAGCCGGCGAGTCTTCTAAGGGCTTCTGTGAGATTTGCATGGACGAGAAACCCAGAGGAGAGATGTTCAGAAGCAAGACTTGCTCTCACTCCTACTGTTCCGATTGTATAAGCAAACATGTTGCAGCAAAAGTCCAGGAGAGCATTAACGTGGTAAGATGCCCCGGATCCAACTGTACAGGGGTGCTGGAACCCGATCTCTGTCGCTCCATTATCCCAGCAGAACTTTTTGATCGGTGGTCTAGCGCCCTGTGTGAGTCTCTAATTCTTGGCTCCAATAGTTTATATTGTCCCTTCAACGATTGTTCGGCACTGTTGGTGGACGATGGTGGGGTGATTGTTAGGGAGTCTGAGTGCCCAAATTGCCGGAGGTTGTTTTGCGCACACTGTAAGGTACCATGGCATTCAGGGGTGGGGTGTGAGGAGTTTGAGAGATTGAACAAGGATGACAGAAAGAAAGAAGATCTCATGATGATGGAGCTTGCTAAATCCAAGAAATGGAAGAGATGTCCCCAGTGCAAGTTTTTTGTCGAGAAGAGGGATGGTTGTTTACATATTACGTGCAGGTTCGTTTCTGTCCTTCCAACAACTAATTATTTTTTCTTTGTAATCAATCGTCTTTGCATTTGACTATTTGTATACATGAATTAAACCTCAAAACCTTGGTTTTTTTTTTCTTTTGTTTTGTTTTGGTTTCCAGGTGTAAATTTGAGTTCTGCTATGGGTGCGGTTCGGGATGGTCTGACACTCATGCCGGTTGCCAAACTAAGGATTGCACTTTCAGAGAATAAAAATTGAGGCGACGGAGGAGGGTTACAACTTAATATCAAATTTAACTTCAACTATGTTAAAGATTAAGTACCAACAAAAACCATGTTAGCGAAGGGCACTTCAACAATTTTMTATTTTTTGATAAATTAAGGAGGTTGTTTTAATTTGATTGAGGTTTTAGAAATTAGAACTATCAGGTCTCCTTTGTATTGTGGTTTAATGAAAGAGGGATAGGATATATCTAAAAAATATGGTCCCTTTTTTTTAATAGACCGCCACATTCACATCCACTCCAACCACTGTAATAGGCACTGTAGCTTACAATCAGGACCTAGAATAGAACCACCATTACAACTGAAACAAATAGATGCCACGGAAATGATTTGYTAGATCAATCAAAGCCAAATTAAGCCCTCCCAAATCTTTTCTATTCTTCATTAATTATGTGATTTAGGAAGCAAGAAATGGGGTGGGTTGTAATTAGAAATCCCAACAGCTAAAGCTTAAATCTTAGGGAGAATGACGGGTCAGCCCAGGATCAGAATCTTTAGGCCCAAAGTACAGTTGGCGTATAGAATGGGGGTTTTTGACATTTTGAATGATTATAGATCTACAGTGGAATTCAGAAATCTACGTTGGACCTGTCCCTACTTTTTTGTAAATCTTAATCATCACTCATCAGATGGATAATTTTTGGAATGAATTAGAACTAGGTAGCTATGACCAAGCAAACTATGGTTGGATCTCATCTCCTACATTCCCCATATGGAGTTGGAAACAAGTTACACTTAGTTGTGTCAATGTACTGGATTTGGTCTAATCCAATCCAGTCCAATGTGAGTCCATTACAAATGGACCAGGTCCAATTCAATGTTTGGACTGTCCAATCTGTTCAAATTTGTTTTTAATTTCAACCCAAATCAGGTCCATTGATACCTATATATATTCTTATCTTATTATATCTATGGACCATATATTGGCTTAATCCAACCCAATCCAATCTAATTTAATAAATATTTTGGRCTGGATTGATCCAATCCAATATGTCTTATTGGTCCGTCCAAATTGATTTTGGATTGGACGGTATCCCGTCCAAAACTGGTCCATTGATACCCTTACTTGCATTGCACCAGTTCTAGGTCCTTGTGCTGGATGGATCCCTTCAAATTTTAACAAATGCTCAAACCAAGCCCGCCAAATAAAATTAAATTGCAGGCAGGACTATCCAGCACCAGTGTTTTCTTTTTTTTTTTTTCAAGTATATAAGCAGCCATTTCATTGCAGTACAGGAGTAAAGCACCAGGTATAAACATAAATTGTACCTGTTCATGATTTGTGAGTTTAGAGGATGTTGCTCAACGAGAAATGGGAAGAGCTCTGGATCTAGGACCAGGGACTGAGCTGGATTTAAAAATATCCAAACTCTAATTATATTCCCCTTTCTAGTTTCCCATTTGCTTGTATTAATGGAACAGAATGATAGCACTGGAGAAGCAACGAAATTGTGTTCTTTTGTTCCAAAATAATTAAAATTTTCATGAAGTAAATTAAAGAGAGGCCTTCTACTTTAATTTTCAAGTTTACAAGTTGGTATTGAGACTGGGCGAACACGGGTATACATTTATGTATAGATCATTCCAATAACGATTTGAAATTTGAATATTTACATTGAATATCACAATCAAAAAGAAAAAGTATAAATTGTTTTAAATGTAAATTGATATGGAACAGTTGTTGGAGAATGATGGAAGCTTTGTGAACAGGGGTACCTGCAAGACATAAACAAGGTTATTAAAATGTCTGATAGGAATTGCAAGAAATAATCAAATACAACAAAGAACTTAAAAAGGAAACAAATTAAGAGTTTTTTAATGGCTAATTGGGTCAATTAGGGAAACACCCTTTGATGACCCTGAATATTTCTGGAACGTTGTGTAGAGGTCCCTCTGCCTCTGGATCTTGGCCTATCAACCTGCAGGTAATCAGGCTAGCTGGGTTTGTCTGGTTTACATTGAGAAATCCCTAACCACAAAAGCCAAGACTAAGAAAGAAAATGTGGGTTGGGACTTGGGAGGCGATGAGCGAGGTCAAAAACTCCCACCTCTGTTACTATGACAATTATATATATAACAAATCAGCAGAATGCATTGAAGTGAAGATCATTGATTACCTTATTGTATTGGTCCCGTTTCATGGGATAAACTAAATTGCTGAGTAAAAAGCTCCGGTAATCAATGTTGATCTCACAATCAAGGGCAACCTTACACAAAACCAAAAATGATTGCTGTTAATAAAATAGCTTTTGCATATCGTTGAGAAAGGAAATTAATAAGTAGCAGCTAGCAAAACTTAATTATTGGTTGGGCAGGAGTTTGCAGATGCTTCGCCGCATGGATGGATGCATGGTTTAATTTGGGGGTGATACGTATACCTACATGTTATAGATGGTATATATTTTCTGAAAATCACAACGAATTAAGGTCATCATCAATTAGTTGAAAAGCTCTTAATAAGATTGAGAGTGTAGGAAGCAAAACCTTGATGTTTGGCAAGGTGAGATGGAAGAGAAGGAGACGTGCTCGAATATCACCCAGTATTCTCACTTTGACCACCACCAGGCTTTTTGGAGAGGAGTCCAAGTCATTGAATGCGATGGTATCAGAAGTTAATTGGCGGATGCTGACATGTTGGAGCACAACATGCGTCTGCACACTCACATTGTTGCTATGAGGTGGTTGGCAGAACTCAGCAACTTCAACAACTCCTATTGGGTTTCCCGCAGCAGATGAGATGTGGAGTCGTGAAGAACTGTATCTTAGTCCAACCTTGTTAGGATTTTTAGCATTCAGAGTTAAAGAAACCACAGATGAGATGTATACATCCCAACTAGTAGAAGAAGAGTCTACCTTGAAGGAATCCAATCTTAGAGATTGAAGAGAGAAAATGGGTTTTCGCGGCCTCAGGACAAAGATAATAGTGATTGAAGCTACTCCCACCAGAGTTGCAATGCAAAGAAAGGAACAGAGCACAAGGAAGCAAAACCTCTCAATTGAAAAAGCCATGGCGTAGGTGACAGCACCAGCAATAATCGGACATGGCGTTCTCTGTTGCATGCGTCTGAATTCCAGCTGAATAATGGCACTACTTGCATGTCAAGTCAAGGTTTGATCTTTTCCTTCCTTCACCGTAACAAGTAAGAATTATGCCAAAGTGCCTGCCTTATGCAACATATTCCTCTACCCTCTCATCTCATATCACACACACACACACTGACACACAAATATATTATTTTCTTAAAAAGCCTGCGACTCCCCGAGTAAGTAACAAGGATTGCACGGTGGGCTCTACTGATTGGTATGGCCACTTGGATGTAATTCGTTCCCACACCCAATAATGAATAAGGGATATCGTCATCAAGGGATTGCAAGCAACTAAGAGCAAAGGATTTTGCTTTTACTGTTCTTTAGGAGAATTTCACCAAAGATGTTGTCGTTTTTTATTTTTTTTCTTTGCTTATTTTGCATTGATTTTATACCATTTTACAAAGTTAAAAATATTTTCTATTATTAATTTGCATACTTATTTTATATGATTAATCATTTAGTCCAAATAAATTGTAGGTTGTAGATTAGTAGAGGGTACTAAACTAGTGATCTACCGAGACAAGACAAGAGTAATCAAAAGGGTAAATTGTAGATTATTACCTTTACTTTGGGGTTAGTCTCACTTTGGTATCCCAATTTCAAAATGTGCAAAATCAGAATCTCAATTCCTTAAAACATCTTAGGCCCTGTTTGGCTCGTTGGAATAGAGGTTTGGAATCGGAATCAGAATCRGAATGGGCTATTCTGATTCCAACTGTTTGGTTGGGCTGAATCAGAATCTCATTCTCATTCCTGCTGGAATGACACTCTCCCATTTGAGGGGAATGGCCACTCACTACCCCTCCCTTAGGAATGAAATCCCATTCCTGTTGATTTCAATTCTCATTCTCATTCCTGTCTGAACCAAACATACTATGGGAATGGACCATTTCGATTCCGATTCCAACTGCGAACCAAAACGGACCCTAATTTAGTTTTTGTCATCAGTATTCTGTCAGCTATGTGTATCACATGATGATATATGCAACTTAAAACTTTTGAAAATATCAAAATTACCCTTTAAAATAAGACATTGCCCATCATCTTCTTTCTTAATAATCAAGATTGAACCAAATCAGTGGTAAACAACCCAAAGGACATTTGAATGGTTGATAAAGAAAATTAGATAACACTCAAAAGACATTTGCATCTTTTCACATGCCACTTAATGACAATTAATGATTTTGGACTAAACTGAAATATTTTGGAAATTCATATATTAGATTGGTGCGTTTTAAAATTCGAGTACTAAAGTGAGACTAAGAGGGCGTTTGGTAACACTTTTTAGAGGTTTGGTGTGTGAAATATATACTTTTTAGACACTGGGCTCATTTAGTATTGCAATTGAAATATGATTTGAAATGCTTTTTTAGATTTGAAATTGTAAGATGCAGGCCCATCACTTAGCGTGCTCAGACGTATATCAAACATGGCCTAAAGTCGAAAATACCCCTATTTTAACCCAATAAAGCCTCATTCTCTCTCTCTCTCTCTCTCCCTATCTTCCCACCACTGCCACTACAACTCTCAACAGTGATAATCCTATTATCCACTTGAGTTGTTCAAATTTGACATTGTTCATCTTCTTTGATAGAACCCAAAACCAGTGACAATCAATCTCTCTATTCTCTCTTTCTCTCTCTCTCTCTCTCTCTCCATTTCCTCTCCTCTCTTTCTCTCGCCAACATCCTCAACCACCACTTGGGCTCCTTTGCCATTGCAACGAGTTGTAGTGGCAATTTTGAATCAACCAGTGGCGGCGACCATAATCCTCTTTTGACTTCTCTCTATTTCCATCATCACTATTTTGCATTCTCCTCTCTTCCTTTCATTCTTACACTCTCCCTCATTGTTGCTCCCTCTTTGTAATTTCTCTCCCTCGAACCAGTAATTGTGAGCAAAGCATCGTCCGCTCATCATTCTCTCCTTCCCTTCCCTTCCCTTCTCTCTCTCTCTCTCTCTCTCTCTCTCTCTCCCACCCCTGTCTTCTTACCAACGCCGTTGCAACTCTCAACAACAACGACGATTCTTTCTAATTTTATTCTTATTTTAGTAAAATATTTTTTATTTTTTATAAATTATGTTTGTATTAATTATTTTAATTTTTATTGCCTATTAAATATTTTAATAGTTTTAAGATATTAATTTGATAATTAATAAATATTTTTTCATTGCTTTATGGACTTTATTACTATTTTCATTATTATTTTAACTCTTAATAATTTGTTTTTAATTTATAAATTTATATGTATTTTTCAATTTTATTCTTATTTTAATAAACTATTTTTTATTTTTATAATTTACTCATATTTTTCAATATTATTTTGAATTTAATAAATTATGAAATAATGCAAATCGAATTCAAAATTACCAAATAATCTATTTTAGGGGTAAAATAATCAAATCAATGAATTTCAAATACTAAAGGTTTGATCCAACACAAACAACCTTCTTTATTCAAAGCCTCTAAAAGGTCGAAAAGCAACATTTTCTCTTTACAAAATTTAAGCACTTTTAATATCTTTTTAACTTTTCAGATTTATCAAACACCACTTAAGCCCAAAAGTACATGGTATTTATCTACAATTTACCCTAAATCAAAATCAACACACGTTACATGACTAAGGATGTAAGGGCAAAGTAGGGTGCATCGTGCACGTGAGCTAGGGGTGATCATGGGCCGGGTTGGGTTGGGCCCAGGCTGAGCTTTGCCTTCATAACAACGGACTTAAGCTAGGCCCGGGCCCGACCCGACCCGCATTATAGGCCTAAAAATATAAGCCCGGGCCCGGCCCTACATGGGCTTAGGTTGGGCCAGGACAAAATTCCAGGCATAATTATTGTATTTCAGTTCCAAAATTAAACAATTATACTTTTTTCACTTATTACCGTGGAGACTATAATAACATGTAAGAAACTTTAAACTTAATATCAAGATAAAAGCTTCTAACATAAAAGAAATTAAATAAGTATACATTGTAATTTATAAGTTTCAATTGGTCATTATAATGCTAAAAATGATAATTTTAACAAGCCAATTTTTCTATCAACAAAAAATCAACCTAGAACCTATAATATCTATAAAAAAATAACCATCCATTGTCATGTAATATCCACAAAACAACTTTAAACATCTCTATAAAGGTGAAATAAAGATGATATATATTAGCAAACTAAGAAAAAATAGTCCAAATTAATGTAATTAAATAAGTAATAAAATATTAAAAATGGTTTCAATTTTACCCAAAACTTGCAACCACTCTAAACTTCATATTTATCTTCATCACTAGAAGATTCATCTTTTGGTGAGAAAGAGAGAGATTGGGCGTGACAGTGGTTTTGTGGAATTGGTGGGAGAAAGAGAGTCGAAAAGATTAGGGTTTAATAATTTATTTTTAGTAATTTCTATATTTCTTTAAATACTAGATTAGAATTTGGTAAAATTTAAAACCGAAGGATTAAAATCTTCAATCTCTTACAAATCTCTATTTAATATATAAAACATTAATTATCAAATATTTTTAAATAATATATATCCATAAAGATATACATATATATTATTTATAAATATCCGGACCGGATAGTAAGTCCGTAACGAATGCACTGATTAGTGATTGTTCATTATTGATGAGCCCCCGCACGACGCACCGTAACGAATACACCATATATAAAATGTTTGACCATATAGCCTTCTCTTTCTCATTTCCTCTCGAAATCGAAACCCTAATTTCTTCCTTGCAGTGCCGAAAATGGTATACTCTAATTGTTTCTATTCTCTTTCTTTGTAGGTTTCTATTTGTTTCAGTCTGATTCAATTGGAAAGATTTGTGTTATCTGCAGGGGATTGATCTCGTTGCAGGGGGCAAGAGCAAGAAGACAAAGCGAACGGCACCGAAGTCCGACGATATCTATCTCAAGCTTCTCGTCAAGGTTTTCCTTGTTTCTTTCTTTCTTCGCATTCTGTGTTAGCGATCTGTGCTTGTTGTCTCTGAAATTTCTATCGGATTTCTCAATTCTGGGTCGTCTTGGATGTTGTTGTGTTTTTGTGAAATGCCTTAAATGGCGGTCTGACTTCTGTGTTAGCGATATGTGCATTTCGTGTACAATTGGGAACTTTAATTTTACCTGTTAAAGGCATTGATCCATTGAAATTGGTTTCTGGTTTTGTTTTATGTTTTTGGGATCCTTTTGAAAATGTGGTTTTATATTATTTTATGCATTATTTTTACATAATTCCATATGATCCATGCCATTTTTTTTGTATTCTTACTGTATGCTTAATGAGTTCATATATTCTGGTAGTTTTCTATGGTTTGTTGCCTCTATTCACTTATAAATAATTTAGGTGTTCGGTACTGTTGCCACTTCCATGTTCTTTTAAGCCATGAAGTGTTCTAGAACTGGCTGAGTTTAGTTCTGGGACACAGAAATATGGCAGATTTTGGAGCACGCCAAAATAACGTTTTCCATAAATACCACACCTTGGGACACCCCATAGACATTGATTTGGTATATTTTGACAAGAAATGTTTATATTTCAGATCTCAATGCTTTGGAACACACCACACCACCACATCACATAACATTATCAAAGGTGTAGTGAGTTCCAAAACCTACAATTTCCAACACACCATAGTGCAGACAGTAGCCTGGAACAGACCACACTTTTTGTAGCCATAGTACAAAACACTTCCTTAGTGGTTCATTGGTTATTAGTTGTTGGTTCTCTCCAAAAGTGGGATATGCAGTGTCTTTCATACTCTGGTTATGGGTTATTGATAAAAAATGTGTATTAATAAGTTTGAGTTATTAAGTTGGTTGTCTTTAATACGCTGTGGGCTTTATCTGGGACTCTGATGGGATATGCAATCCTTTTGTTTTAGAGCAGCGGAGTTCTTTACCTCGTGGATTGATATCTACATTCCCGCTTTCATTATTCTTTTACCTTTCTAGTCCATTGGGATAATTTGAGCTTACTTTTTGGAGTTATTTTGTGTTCCAGCTGTACAGGTTTTTGGTTCGGAGGACTGGCAGTAAGTTTAATGCTGTCATATTGAAGAGATTGTTCATGAGCAGGGTGAACAAGCCACCAATATCATTGTCTAGGTTGATTAAGTTCATGAAAGGAAAGGTAAAAATATCATACAAAATCTTATAGCTTGAGATCTAAGCATGGATCTTGATATGTCTGGTTTTTTATTTTTTCAGGTTAGGAATAATAATGATAGCTGTATGCTTTTTTATTCATGCATCTCATGCCACCAAACTGGATTGTTTGCATTTGGAGTCTTATGTGACAGGTGAATACCTCTTAAGCTATAAGGAAAATTCTACAAAATAGTTGTAAGGTCAGCTATGTTTTATGGAGCAAAGTGTAGGGCAGTTTCGGAACAGCATGCCCAAAAAATAAGTGTGGCAGTAATATGAATGCTTAGATGGATGAGTGGTAAAATTAGAAGGGACAGGGTTAGATGAAGTTAGACCTGTTCATGGGCCGGGCCGGGCCGGGCTTTTACTCTTTATTAACAGAAAAATGTTAGGCCCAGGCCCGAGCCCGACCCGACCAATGGGCCTACAACTTGGGCCCAAGCCTGGCCCTGATAAAAGGCCTGAAGCCCGAGCCCGACGTAATAAAAGAAATTTGAAAATTTCCCTATTCAAATGAACATTATCTATTTTAATTCAGATGTTTTTTTCCCCTATTTAAATGAACAATGGGCCTACAAGTGAATCAACAACCTTCTTAAATCAAAAAATTTATTCAAATGGACATCACATAGGGTTTTTACTTAGGTTTCAGTATAGGTCGGGCCGGTTCGGGCTCGGGCC